AATCACACAATCATTTTCCTCTTTCACTCATTTTCAATCTGCAGCTCAATGTCCCCTGTTTTGACTCTAATGGGAATAGGGTTCATGCAGAACCTGTATGAAACAAAAATGATTCCCATAACCATAATTAGAACCATGAAGGTTATCGCCAAAAGGGCCCCCACTCCGGCATACTGAGGAGGCTGCCAACTAGGACTCGCCTTCCACTCATGTTAAACGCTGCGAAAGGGACCGAGGAGCTGTTCGGCGCCAATGCCGCGGCAGCAGAGACTTTGGCCGAGGCGATGGTGATGGCGGCGGAGGGGGCGGTGGCAGCGAAAGCGGTAGCAGCAGCAAAGGGGACGGTGACGGTGGCGGCGGCAGCGACGGTGGCGGTGGTGGAGGAGGCAGCAGCAGAGGAGGGGACGGTGGCGGTGGTGGAAGTGGTGGCGGCGGCGGTGGCGGAAGAGGAGGCAGTGGCGATGGCGGCGGAGGGGGTGGCAATGCCGACGGTGGCAGTGGTGAAAGCGGCAGCGGCGTTGGAGGGGACGGTGAAGGCAGCGACCGCGGGGGAACGGGCGGCGACGGTGATGATGACCGGGGGGGGGGGGGGGAGGGGGCGGCAACGGTGACGGCGACTGTGGAAGTGGCGGCGGTGGCGGAGGGGACGGCGGCGGCGGTGGCGGCGGCGACGGCAGGGGATAGGGAAGTGCTGGGGACGGCGTCAATGGCAGAAGCGGAGGTGGCGGTGATGGGGATGGAGGGACGGTGATGGCGACGGTGGCGGTGGAGGCTGAGGAGACGGTGGCGGCGGCGACGGCGGGGGAGGGGGCGGCAGCGGCGAGAGAAACGATGATTAAAACTAAGAAAGCAGCCATTTTATGTTTTTGCTTATCTCTCTTTTCCAGGATAATAATATTTATAGGGGAGAGGGAGATGGGGCAGGCCGCAGGCGTTCACACGAAAGTGTCAAATTACGCTGTCAACACCAAATCGTACCACTACAGCATTCGCAAAGGAATTTACAAAGTTTTGTATTTGATCCATTTTTGTTTAACGAAAATGTTCCTTCTGTTGGCACCCAAAATTACCCCTGGTGGGAGTGGGCCGTTCACAAGTTACAGAAGATGTAAAGTACGGCCCACATGGCGAAAATCCGAAAAAGGCCGCAAGTCAGGCCCAGAAACGTTGAGAAGACCCAAGGTAATTATCGACAGGACACGTCATAGAGGTGTCGATAAGTTTAAAATCACGAGCCTTGCACGTGACATCGACGAGTTCAAGATCACGAGCTTTGCACGTGACGTCGACGAATCCAAGATCACGAGCTTTGCACGGAATTTCGTCAAGATATTTCATATCAGGATATCTTCTTTTGGGTTTTTTTTTTATTGTCACACATATTTTTTTGTGATATCGTCAAGTTATGATGAATAGATCAATCCATCAAAAGAAAATACAAAAACTAAATGGTAATTAGAGGTTTACTTTCATCAAAATCCCGACTTCACTTTTATTTAAGTATTCAGGCGATAATATAGTTACATTGATATAAGTACGAATGACGTAAGCATTAATACAAGTATTGAGTCGATAGTATAGTCACACAATCATTTTCCTGTTTCACTCATTTCCAATCTGCAGCTCAATGTCCCCTGTTTTGACTCTCATGGGAATAGGGTTGTTGCAGAACCTGTATGAAACAAAAAGGATTCTCATAACCATAATTAAGACCATGAAGGTTACCGCCAAAAGGGCCCCCCACTCCGGCATACTGAGGAGGCTGCCAACTAGGACTCGCCTTCCACCCATGTTAAACGCTGCGAAAGAGACCGAGAAGCTCTTCGGCGCCAACGCCACGACAGCAGCGACTGTGGCCGAGGCGGTGGTGATGGCGGCGAAGGGGGCGACGGTAGCGGAAGCGGAAGGGACGGTGGCTATGGCGGCGGCAGCGACGGTGGCGGCGGTGGAAAAGGCAGCAGCAGCGGAGGGGACGGTGGCGGTGGTGGAAGTGGTGGCGGTGGTAGAAGCGGAGGCAGTGGCGATGGCGGCGGAGGGGGCGGCAATGCCGACGGTGGCAGTGGTGAAACCGGCAGCGGCGTTGGAGGGAACGGTGAAGGCAGAGACCGCGGAGGAACAGGCGGCGACGGTGATGATGACTAAGGGGGAGGGGGCGGCAACGGCGACGGCGACGGTGGAAGCAGCGGCGGTGGCGGGGGAGGGGGCGGCGGTGGCTGAGGGGACGGATGCGGCGGCGACGTCAGGGAATTGGGAAGTGCTGGCGACGGCGTCATTGGCAGAAGCGGAGGCGGCGGTGATGGGGACGGAGGGCCGGTGACTGCGACGGTGGCGATGGAGGCTGAGGGGACGGTGGCAGCGGCGACGGCGGGGGAGGGGGCGGCGGTGGCTAGAGAAACGGTGATTAAAACTAAGAAAGCAGCTATTTTATGTTTTTGCTTATCTCTCTTTTCCAGGATAATAATATTTATAGGGGAGAGGTAGATGGGGCAGGCCGCAGGCGTTCACACGAAAGTGTCAAATTAAGCTGTCAACACCAAATAGTACCACTACAGCATTCGAAAAGGAATTTACAAAGTTTTGTATTTGATCCATTTTTGGTTAACGAAAATGTTCCTTCTGTTGGCACCCAAAATTACCCCTGGTGGGAGTGGGCCGTTCACAAGTTACAGAAGATGTAAAGTACGGCCCACATGGCGAAAATCCGAAAAAGGCCGCAAGTCAGGCCCAGAAACGTTGAGAAGACCCAAGGTAATTATCGACACGACACGTCATAGAGGTGTCGACAAGTTTAAAATCACGAGCCTTGCACGTGACATCGACGAGTTCAAGATCACGAGCTTTGCACATGACGTCGACGAATCCAAGATCACGAGCTTTGCACGTGACGTCGACGAATCCAAGATCACGAACTTTGCACGTGACGTCGACGAATCCAAGATCACGAGCTTTGCACGGAATTCCGTCAGGATATCTTATTTTGGGTTTTTTGTTTTATTGTCATACATATTTTTTTTGTGATATCGTCAAGTTAGGATGAACAGATCAATCCAACAATAGAAAATACAAAAACTAAATGGTAATTAGAGGTTTACTTTCCTCAAAATCCCGACTTCACTTTTATTTAAGTATTCGGGCGATAATATAGTTACATTAATATAAGTATGAATGACGTATGCATTAATATACGTATTGAGTCGATAGTATAGTCACACAATCATTTTCCTGTTTCACTCATTTCCAATCTGCAGCTCAATGTCCCCTGTTTTGACTCTCATGGGAATAGGGTTCTTGCAGAACCTGTATGAAACAAAAAGGATTCTCATAACCATAATTAGGACCATGAAGGTTACCGCCAAAAGGTCCCCCCACTCCGGCATACTGAGGAGGCTGCCAACTAGGACTCGCCTTCCACCCATGTTAAACGCTGCGAAAGGGACCGAGGAGCTGTTCGGCGCCAATGCCGCGGTAGCAGCGACTATGGTCGAGACGGTGGTGATGGCGGCGGAGGGGGCAGCGACGGCGGAAGCGGCAGCAGCAGCGGACGGGACGGTGGCGGCGGCAGCGACGGTGGCGGTGGTGGAAGAGGCAGCAGCAGCGGAGGGGACGGTGGCGGTGGTGGAAGTGGTGGCGGTGGCGGTGGCGGAAGCGGAGGCAGTGGCGATTGCGGCGGAGGGGGCGGCAATGCCGACGGTGGCGGTGGTGAAAGCGGCAGCGGCGTTGGAGGGGACAGTGAAGGCAGCGACCGCGGGGGAGCGGGCGGCGACGGTGATGATGACGGAGGGAGAGTGGGCGGAAACGGCGACGGCGTCGGTGGAAGCGGTGGCAGTGGCGGAGGGGACGGCGGCGGCGGTGTCGGCGGTGACGGCAGGGGATGGGGAAGTGCTGGCGATGGCGTCAATGGCAGAAGCGGAGGCGGCGGTGATGGGGACGGAGGGGCGGTGATGGCGACGGTGGCGGTGGAGGCTCAGGGGACGGTGGCGACGGCGACGGCGGGTGAGGGGGCGGCGGCGGCGAGAGAAACGGTGATTAAAACTAAGAAAGCAGCCATTTTATATTTTTGCTTATCTCTCTTTTCCAGGATAATAATATTTATAGGGGAGAGGGAGATGGGGCAGGCCGCAGGGGTTCACACGAAAGTATCAAATTACGCTGTCAATACCAAATCGTACCACTACAGCATTCGAAAAGGAATGTACAAAGTTTTGTATTGGATCCATTTTTGGTTAACGAAAATGTTCCTTCTGTTGGCACCCAAAATTAACCTTGGTGGGAGTGGGCCGTTCACAAGTTACAGAAGATGTAAAGTACGGCCCACATGGCGAAAATCCAAAAAAGGCCGCAAGTCAGGCCCAGAAACGTTGAGAAGACCTAAGGTAATTATCGAATGGACAAGTCATAGAGGTGTCGACAAGTTTAAAATCACGATCCTTGCACGTGACATCGACGAGTTCAAGATCACGAGCTTTGCACGTGACATCGACGAATCCAAGATCACGAGCTTTGCACGTGACGTCAACGAATCCAAGATCACAAGCTTTGCACGGAATTTCGTCAGGATATCTTCTTTTGGGTTTTTTTTTTATTGTCATACATATTTTTTTGCGATATCGTCAAGTTAGGATGAACATATCAATCTATCAAAAGAAAATACAAAAACTAAATGGTAATTAGAGGTTTAATTTCCTCAAAATCCAGACTTCACTTTTATTTAAATATTCAGGCGATAATATAGTTATATTGATATAAGTATGAATAACGTATGCATTAATATAAGTATTGAGTCGATAGTATAGTCACACAATCATTTTCCTGTTTCACTCATTTTCAATCTGCAGCTCAATGTCCCCTGTTTTGACTCTCATGGGAATAGGGTTCATGCAGAATCGGTACGAAATAAAAATGATTCCCATAACCATAATTAGGACCATGAAGGTTAGCGCCAAAAGGGCCCCCACTCCGTCATACTGAGGAGGCTGCCAACTAGGACTCGCCTTGCACCCATGTTAAACGTTGCGAAAGGGACCGAGGAGCTGTTCGGCGCCAATGCCGCGGCAGCAGCGACTTTGGCCGAGGCGGTGGTGACGGCGTCGGAGGGGGCGGCGGCGACGGAAGCGGCAGTAGCAGCATCAGCAAAGGGGACGTTGGCGGTGGTGGCGGCAACGACGGTGGCGGTGGAGGAGGAGGCAGCAGCAGCGGAGGGGACGGTGGCGGTGGTGGAAGTGTTGGTGGCGGCGGTGGCGGAAGAGGAGGCAGTGGCGATGGCGGCGGAGGGGGTGGCAATGCCGACGGTGGCAGTGGTGAAAGCGGCAGTGGCTTTGGAGGTGACGGTGACGGCACCGACCACGGGGGAACGGGCGGCGACGGTCATGATGACGGGGGGGGGGGGGGGGGGGAGGGGGCGGCAACGGTGACGGCGACGGTGGAAGTGGCGGCGGTGGCGGAGGGGACGGCGACGGCGGCGGCGGCGGCGACGGCACGGGATGGGGAAGTGCTGGCGACGGCGTCAATGGCAGAAGCGGAGGCGGCGGTGATGGGTACGGAGGGACGGTGATGGCGACGGTGGCGGTGGAGGCTGAGGGGACGGTGGCGGCGGCGACAGCGGGGGAGGGGTGGGTGGCGGCGAGAGAAACGATGATTAAAACTAAGAAAGCAGCCATTTTATGTTTTTGATTATCTCTCTTTTTCAGGACAATAATATTTATAGGGGAGAGGGAGATGGGGCAGGCCGCAAGCGTTCACACGAAAGTTTCAAATTACGCTGTCAACACCAAATCGTACCACTACAGCATTCGAAAAGGAATTTACAAAGTTTTGTATTCGATCCATTTTTGGTTAACGAAAATGTTCCTTCTTTTGGCACCCAAAATTACCCCTGGTGGGAGTGGGCCGTTCACAAGTTACAGAAGATGTAAAGTACGCCCACATGGCGAAAATCCGAAAAAGGCCGCAAGTCAGGCCCATAAACGTTGAGAAGACCTAAGGTAATTATGGACACGACACGTCATAGAGGTGTTGACAAGTTTAAAATCACGAGCCTTGCACGTGACATCGACGAGTTCAAGATCACGAGCTTTGCACGTGACGTCGACCAATCCAAGATCACGAGCTTTGCACGTGATATCGACGAATCCAAGATCACGAGCTTTGCACGGAATTTCGTCAGGATATCTTCTTTTGGGTTTTTTTTTAATTGTCATACATATTTTTTTTGTGATATCGTCAAGTTAGGATGAACAGATCAATCCAACAAAAGAAAATACAAATACTAAATGGTAATTAGAGGTTTAATTTCCTCAAAATCCAGACTTCACTTTTATTTAAGTATTCAGGCGATAATATAGTTACATTGATATTAGTATGAATGACGTATGCATTAATATAAGTATTGAGTGGATAGGATAGTCACACAATCATTTTCCTATTTCACTCATTTCCAATCTGCAGCTCAATGTCCCCTGTTTTGATTCTCATGGGAATAGAGTTCTTGCAGAACCTGTATGAAACAAAAATTATTCTCATAACCATAATTAGGACCTTGAAGGTTACCGCCAAAAGGGCCCCCCACTCCGGCATACTGAGTAGGCTGCCAACTAGGACTCGCCTTCCATCCATGTTAAACGCTGCGAAAGGGACCGAGGAGATGTTTGGCGCCAATGCCGCTGCAGCAGCGACTATGGCCGAGGCAGTGGTGATGGCGGCGGAGGGGGCGGCGGCGGCGGAATCGGCAGCAGCAGCGGACGGGACGGTGGCGGTGGCGGCGGCAGCGACGGTGACGGTAGTGGAAGAGGCAACAACAGCGGAGGGGACGGCGGCGGTGGTGCAAGTGGTGGCGTTGGCGGTGGCGGAAGCGGAGGCAGTGGCGATTGCGGCGGAGGGGGCGGCAATGCCGACGGTGGCGGTGGTGAAAGCGGCAGCGGCGTTGGAGGGGACAGTGAAGGCAGCGACCGCGGGGGAGCGGGCGGCGACGGTGATGATGACGGAGGGAGAGTGGGCGGAAACGGCGACGGCGTCGGTGGAAGCGGTGGCAGTGGCGGAGGGGACGGCGGCGGCGGTGGCGGCGGCAGGGCATGGGGAAGTGCTGGTGACGGCGTCAATGGCAGAAGCCGAGGCGGCGGTGATGGGGACGGAGGGGCGGTGACGGCGACGGTGGCGGTGGAGGCTGAGGGGACGGTGGCGGCGGCGACGGCGGGTGAGGGGGCGGCGGCGGCGAGAGAAACGGTGATTAAAACTAAGAAAGCAGCCATTTTATGTTTTTGCTTATCTCTCTTTTCCAGGATAATAATATTTTTAGGGGAGAGGGAGATGGGGCAGGCCGCAGGCGTTCACACGAAAGTGTCAAATTACGCTGTCAACACCAAATCGTACCGCTATAGCATTCGAAAAGGAATTTATAAAGTTTTGTATTGGATCCATTTTTGGTTAACGAAAATGTTCTTTCTGTTGGCACCCAAAATTAACCTTAGTGGGAGTGGGCCGTTCACAAGTTACAGAAGATGTAAAGTACGGCCCACATGGCGAAAATCCAAAAAAGTCCGCAAATCAGGCCCAGAAACGTTGAGAAGACCTAAGGTAATTATCGAATGGACACGTCATAGAGGTGTCGACAAGTTTAAAATCACGATCCTTGCACGTGACATCGACGAGTTCAAGATCACGAGCTTTGCACGTGACGTCGACGAATCCAAGATCACGAGCTTTGCACGTGACGTCGACGAATCCAAGATCACGAGCTTTATACGGAATTTCGTTAGGATATCTTCTTTTGGGTTTTTATTTTTATTGTCATACATATTTTTTAGTGATATCGTCAAGTTAGGATGAACAGATCAATCCATCAAAAGAAAATACAAAAACTAAATGTTAATTAGAGGTTTACTTTCCTCAAAATCCAGACTTCACTTTTATTTAAATATTCAGGCGATAATATAGTTACATTGATATAAGTATGAATGCCGTATGCATTAATATAAGTATTGAGTCGATAGTATAGTCACACAATCATTTTCCTGTTTCACTCATTTTCAATCTGCAGCTCAATGTCCCCTGTTTTGACTCTCATGGGAATAGGGTTCATGCAGAACCTATACGAAACAAAAAGGATTCCCATAACCATATTTAGGACCATCTAGGTTAGCGCCAAAAGGGCCCCCACTCCGTCATACTGAGGAGGCTGCCAACTAGGACTCGCCTTCCACCCATGTTAAATGCTGCGAAAGGGACCGAGGAGCTGTTCGGCGCCAATGCCGCGGTAGCCGCGAGTTTGGCTGAGGCGGTGGTGACGGCGGTGGAGGGGGCGGAGGCGGCGGAAGCGGCAGCAGCGGCATCAGCAAAGGGGATGATGGCGGTGGCGGCGGCAACGACGGTGGCGGTGGTGGAGGAGGCAACAGCAGCGGAGGGGACGGTGGCAGGTGGTAGAAGTGTTGGTGGCGGTGGTGGCGGAAGAGGAGGCAGTGGCGATGGCGGCGGAGGGGGTGGCAATGCCGACGGTGGCAGTGGTGAAAGCGGCAGCGGCGTTGGAGGGGACGGTGACGGTAGCGACCGCGGGGGAACGGGCGGCGGCGGTGATGATGACGGGGGGGGGGGGGTAGGGGACGGCAACGGTGACGGCGACGGTGGAAGTGGCGGCGGTGGCGGAGGGGACGGCGACGGCGGTGGCGGCGGCGACGGCAGGGGATGGGGAAGTGCTAGCGACGGCGTCAATGGCAGAAGCGGAGGCGGCGGTGATGGGGACGGAGGGACGGCGACGGCGACGGTGGCGGTGGAGGCTGAGGGGACGGTGGCGGCGGCGACGGCGTGGGAGGGGTCGGCGGCGGCGAGAGAAATGATGATTAAAACTAAGAAAGCAGCCATTTTATGTTTTTGCTTATCTCTCTTTTCCAGGATTATAATATTTATAGGGGAGAGGGAGATGGGGCAGGCCGCAGGCGTTCAGACGAAAGTGTCAAATTACGCTGTCAACACCAAATCGTACCACTACAGCATTCGGAAAGGAATTTACAAAGTTTTGTATTTGATCCATTTTTGGTTAACGAAAATGTTACTTCTGTTGGCACCCAAAATTACCCCTGGTGGGAGTGGGCCGTTCACAAGTTCCAGAAGATGTAAAGTACACCCACATGGCGAAAATCCGAAAAAGGCCGCAAGTCAGGCCCAGAAACTTTGAGAAGACCTAAGGTAATTATCGACAGGACACGTCATAGAGGTGTCGAAAAGTTTAAAATCACGAGGCTTGCACGTGACATCGACGAGTTCAAGATCACGAGCTTTGCACGTGACGTCGACGAATCTAAGATCACGAGCTTTGCACGTGACGTCGACGAATCGAAGATCACGAGCTTTGCACTCAATTTCGTCAAGATATTTCATATCAGGATATCTTCTTTTGGGTTTTTTTTTATTGTCATACATTTTTTTTTGTGATATCGTCAAGTTAGGATGAACAGATCAATCCATCAAAAGAAAATACAAAAACTAAATGGTAACTAGAGGTTTACTTTCCTCAAAATCCTGACTTCACTTTTATTTAAGTATTCAGGCGAGAATATAGTTACATTGATATAAGTATGAATGACGTATGCATTAATATAAGTATTGAGTCGATAGTGTAGTCACACAAACATTTCCCTGTTTCAGTCATTTCCAATCTGCAGCCCAATGTCCCCTGTTTTGACTCTCATGGGAATAGGGTTCTTGCAGAACCTGTATGAAAAAAAAAGGATTCCCATAATCATAATTAGGACAATGAAGGTTACCGCCAAAAGGGCCCCTAGTCCGGCATACTGAGGAGGCTGCCAACCAGGACTCGCCTTCCACCAATGTTAAACGCTGCGAAAGGGACCGAGGAGCTGTTCTGCGCCAACGACGCGGTAGCAGCGACTGTGGCCGAGGCGGTGGTGATGGCGGCGAAGGGGGCGGCGGCAGCGGAAGCGGAAGGGACGTTGGATGTGGCGGCGGCAGCGACGGTGGCGGTGGTGGAAAAGGCAGCAGCAGTGGAGGGGACGGTGGCGGTGGTGGAAGTGGTGGCGGTGGCGGTGGTAGAAGCGGAGGCAGTGGCGATTGCGGCGGAGGGGGCGGAAAGGCCGACGGTGGCGGTGGAGAAACCGGCAGCGGGGTTGGAGGGAACGGTGAAGGCAACGACCGCGGGGGAACAGGCGGCGACGGTGATGATGACGGAGGGGGAGGAGGGGCAACGGCGACGGCGACGGTGGAAGCGGCGGCGGTGGCGGAGGGGATGGCGGCGGTGGTGGCGGGGTAGGGGGCGGCGGTGGCTGAGGGGACGGTGGCGGCGGTGACGTCAAGGAATGGGGAAGTGCTGGCGATGGCGTCAATGGCAGAAGCGGAGGCGGCGGTGATGGGGATGGAGGGGCGGTGACGGCGACGGTGGCGGTGGAGGCTGAGGGGACGGTGGCTGCGGCGACGGCGGGGGAGGGGGTGGCGGTGGCTAGAGAAACGGTGATTAAAACTAAAAAAGCATCCATTTTCCGCTTTTGCTTATCTCTCTTTTTCAGGATAATAATATTTATAGGGAAGAGGGAGATGGGGCAGGCCGCAGGCATTCACACGAAAGTGTCAAATTAAGCTGTCAACACCAAATCGTACCACTACAGCATTTGAAAAGGAATTTACAAAGTTTTGTATTTGATCAATTTTTGGTTGACGAAAATGTCCCTTCTGTTGGCACCCAAAATTACCCCTGGTGGGAGTGGGCCGTTCACAAGTTACAGAAGATGTAAAGTACGACCCACATGGCTAAAATCCGAAAAAGGCCGCAAGTCATGTCCAGAAACGTTGAGAAGAACTAAGGTAATTATTGACATGACACGTCATAGAGGTGTCGACAAGTTTAAAATCACGAGCCTTGCACGTGACATCGACGAGTTCAAGATCACGAGCTTTGCACGTGACGTCCTCGAATCCAAGATCACCAGCTTTGCACGTGACGTCGACGAATCCAAGATCATGGGCTTTGCACAGAATTTCGTCAAGATATTTCATATGAGGATATCTTCTTTTGGGTTTTTTTTTACTATCATACATATTTTTTTTGTGATATCTTCAAGTTAGGATGAACAGATCAATCCATCAAAAGAAAATACAAAAACTAAATGGTAATTAGAGGTTTACTTTTCTCAAAATCCCGACTTTACTTTTATTTAAGTATTCGGGCAATAATATAGTTACATTGATACAAGTATGAATGACGTATGCATTAATATAAGTATTGTGTCGATAGTGTAGTCACACAATCATTTCCTTGTTTCACTCATTTCAAATCTGCAGCCCAATGTCCCCTGTTTTGACTCTCGTGGGAATAGGGTTCTGGCAGAACATGTATGAAACAAAAAGGATTCCCATAACAATAATTAAGACCATGAAGGTTACCGCCAAAAGGGCCGCCCACTCCGGCATACTGAGGAGGCTGCAACCTAGGACCCGCCTTCCACCCATGTTAAACGCTGCGAAAGGGACCGAGAAGCTGTTCGGCACCAACGCCGCGGCAGCAGTGACTGTGGCCGAGGCGGTGGTGATGGCGGCGGCGGCGAGAGAAACGGTGATTAAAACTAAGAAAGCAGCCATTTTATATTTTTGCTTATCTCTCTTTTCCAGGATAATAATATTTATAGGGGAGAGCGAGATGGGGCAGGCCGCAACCATTTACACGAAAGTGTCAAATTACGCTGTCAACACCGAATCGTACCACTACAGCATTCGAAAAAGAATTTACAAAGTTTTGTATTTGATCCATTTTTGGTTAACGAAAATGTTCGTTATGTTGGCATCCAAAATTACCCCCGGTGGGAGTTGGCCGATCACAAGTTACAGAAGATGTAAAGTACGGCCGACATGGCAAAAATCCGAAAAAGGACGCAAGTCAGGCCTAGAAACATTGAGAAGACCTAAGGTAATTATCGACAGGACACGTCGTAGAAGTGTCGACAAGTTTAAAAGCACGAGCCTTGCACGTGACATCGACGAGTTCAAGATCACGAGCTTTGCACGTGCCGTCGACGAATCCAAGATCACGAGCTTTGCACGTGACGTCGACGAATCCAAGATCACGAGCTTTGCACGGAATTTCGTCAAGATATTTCATATCAGGATATCTTCTTTTGGGTTTTTTTTTTGTTGTCATTCATATTTTTTTGTGATATCGTCAAGTAAAGATGAACATATCAATCCATCAAAAGAAAATACAAAAACTAAATGGTAATTAGAGGTTTACTTTCCTCAAAATCCGGACTTCACTTTTATTTAAGTATTCAGGCGATAATATAGTTACATTGATATAAGTATGAATGACATATGCATTAATATAAGTATTCTGTCGATAGTGTAATCACACAATCATTTCCCTGTTTCACTCATTTCCAATTTGCAGCCCAATGTCCCCTGTTTTGACTCTCATGGGAATAGGGTTCTTGCAGAACCTATATGAAACAAAAAGGATTCCCATAACCATAATTAGGACAATGAAGGTTATCGCCAAAAGGGCCCCCCCACTCCGGCATACTGAGGAGGCTGCTAACTAGGACTCGCCTTCCACCCATGTTAAACGCTGCGAAAGGGACCGAGGAGCTATTCGGTGCCAATGCCGCGGTAGCAGCGACTGTGGCCGAGGCGGTGGTGATGGCAGCAGCGGCGAGAGAAACGGTGATTAAAACAAAGAAAGCAGCCATTTTATGTTTTTGCTTATCTCTCTTTTCCAGGATAATAATATTTATAGGAGAGAGGGAGATGGGGCAGGCCGCAGGCGTTCACACGAAAGTGTCAAATTACGCTGTCAACACCAAATCGTACCACTACAGCATTCGAAAAGGAATTTACAAAGTTTTGTATTTGATCCATTTTTGGTTAACGAAAATGTTCCTTCTGTTGGCACCCAAAATTACCCCCGGTGGGAATGGGCTATTCACAAGTTACAGAAGATGTAAAGTACGGCCCACATGGCGAAAATCCGAAAAAGGCCGCAAGTCAGGCCTAGAAACATTGAGAAGACCTAAGGTAATTATCGACAGGACACGTCATAGAGGTGTCGACAAGTTTAAAAGCACGAGCCTTGCACGTGACATCGACGAGTTCAAGATCACGAGCTTTGCACGTGACGTCGACGAATCCAAGATCACGAGCTTTGCACGTGACGTCGACGAATCCAAGATCACGAGCTTTGCACGGAATTTCGTCAAGATATTTCATATCAGGATATCTTCTTTTGGGTTTTTTTTTATTGTCATACATATTTTTTTGTGATATCGTCAAGTTAGGATGATTAGATCATTCCATCAAAAGAAAATACAAATACTAAATGGTAATTAGTGGTTTACTTTTCTCAAAATCCACACTTCACTTTTATTTAAGTATTTAGGCGATAATATAGTTACATTGATATAAGTATGAATGACGTATGCATTAATATAAGTATTGAGTCGATAGTGTAGTCACACAATCATTTCCCTGTTTCACTCATTTCAAATCTGCAGCCCAATGTCCCCTGTTTTGACTCTCGTGGGAATAGGGTTCTTGCAGAACCTGTATGAAACAAAAAGGACTCGCATAACCATAATTAGGACAATGAAGGTTACCGCCAAAAGGGCCCCCCACTCCGGCATACTGAGGAGGCTGCCAACTAGGACTCGTCTTCCATCCTTGTTAAACGCTGCGAAAGGGACCGAGGAGCTGTTCGTCCCCAACGCCGCGGCAGTAGCGACTGTGGCCGAGGCGGTGGTGATGGCGTTGACGGCGAGAGAAACGGTGACTAAAACTAAGAAAGCAGCCATTTTATGTTTTTGCTTATCTCACTTTTCCAGGATAATAACATTTATAGGGGAGAGGGAGATGGGGCAGGCCGTAGGCATGTACACGAAAGTGTCAAATTACGCTGTCAACACCAAATCGTACCACTACATCATTCGAAAAAGAATTTACAAAGTTTTGTATTTGATCCATTTTTGGTTAACGAAAATGTTCCTTCCGTTGGTACCCAAAATTACCTCCGATGGGAGTGGGCTGTTCACAAGTTACAGAAGATGTAAAGTACGGTCCACAGGGCGAAAATCCGAAAAAGGCCGCAAGTCAGGCCCAGAAACATTGAGAAGACCTAAGGTAATTATCGACAGGACACGTTATAGAGGTGTCGACAAGTTTAAAATCACGAGCCTTGCACGTGACATCGACGGGTTCAAGATCACGAGCTTTGCACGTGACGTCCTCGAATCCAAGATCACGGGCTTTGCACATGACGTCGACGAATCCAAGATCACGGGCTTTGCACGGAATTTCGTCAAGATATTTCATATGAGGATATCTTCTTTTGGGTTTTTTTTTTACTATCATACATATTTTTTTTTTGATATCTTCAAGTTAGGATGAACAGATCAATCCATCAAAAGAAAATACAAAAACTAAATGGTAATTAGAGGTTTACTTTTCTCAAAATCCCGACTTTACTTTTATTTAAGTATTCAGGCAATAATATAGTTACATTGATATAAGTATGAATGACGTATGCATTAATATAAGTATTGTGTCGATAGTGCAGTCACACAATCATTTCCTTGTTTCACTCATTTCAAATCTGCAGCCCAATGTCCCCTGTTTTGACTCTCGTGGGAATAGGGTTCTGGCCGAACATGTATGAAACAAAAAGGATTCCCATAACAATAATTAAGACCATGAAGGTTACCGCCAAAAGGGCCGCCCACTCCGGCAT